AATTCCTTAATCACCCGTGCCCCTTCATCTCTTGTGTTTTCATTTGGTTGTTTTCATAAGCATATGTGAAATGCGGCTGTGGTGTTAGCACGAGCACTATATGCTTTGTTACTGATGCATATATTTTCTTTTGAATGTTTGATTTGTACTATCAAAGGTCGCCATTGCATTAGCACGGGTATTTAATTTCACAGTATTGTTATTTTATCGTGCGATCCATGTATTTTTAGTACAAAAGTTTAGTTGTCCCGTAGCTACGCACGGGCACACTACCTAGTCTCTTCTACAACTAAAACATATGGATTGTCCACATCTACCCGGTAGGACCAAAACACACATACGATCAATATCTAGTAGGCAAATAATCACCGCGTCTCATGCGATTCATATCCGACAGGCAAATAATCACCGCATGGAGACACTGGAAAGCAAGTAAATAAAATAGAATAAAACTCACATAATCACCGCATGAAGACACCGGAAGGCAAGTAAATAAAATGGAATAAAACGAAAAGAGAATTATGGGAAGAGAAATAAATTTATTGGAATATCACCACGCAATGATCATGATCGTGATCCAAATCTCGTTCGACGTCCTTCGCGTTGCGTGTTGATAACAAATACTTTTTTTCCCAAAAAATGAATTATTGTCATGCCTCGTGCGGGCTAGGATCCGAGTATACATGTTTTGAAAAGGCAGAACATGGATAAATTCAATTCGATGCCTAGTAATAAATTTTAAGCCTTTGAGGCAACTGATGCTCCAAGCCTAGCTTTTATTTTAGATTCATTACGATAATGAATGTGTTTCTAGACATTATCATGGTATAATACACGTGAAAAATTAAATTGATATTTTTTTTATTTTGACTTGGCTAACAAACATCTCTTTCAATTTATGTCGCACCCGTTGCAACGCGCGTGCACTCATCTAGTGCATCTAAACAAGGTAAAAAATAATAATCATAAATAAAATTTCATTATATATGCATCGCCTATAATAAAAGTTTTTGTATTTGAGGTAAGGGCACGTCACTGAGAGTTTTATGGCCAATATAATCCATACTTCGTAGTATATCTTTTGTATAGCCCGAAACGAGAAAACTTGTGAGGTACAACGTTCTTTGAAAAAAAGTATGGTGCGATTCTTTCCTGCCTTCGCGAATGCTGTCGTAGGAGCACTGATATATTATACTATATAATATCCTCAAACAGGGGCGGATCCAAGGGTATTCCCCAGTTTTCGAGAATATCCAACTATTTTGGTACACTTTTATATGTGTATATACTCATATGTATAATGTATATTGGTGATAATTCGCTGTTTTTGAGGAGAAACTCAGCCCACAGCTAACTATTCGTCGCCTCCTCTCCTTTCCAACTGTATACATTGGATTTAAAACCTAGACTGCTATGTATTGGATTTTTTCGGAAGCGGAAATACCCAACTTCGAGATCCTGGCTCCGCCACTGTCCTCAAAGGTCAAAGCAACTTTCACGTGGTGTCGAAAAGTTCGATATCACATAAACACACCATCAAGCAACAGCTAGGACAATGGGGAGCATTAGCATTATGCTGGTAGCGACTAGCAAAGCATATACCATCTAACGGCTGAAGACGACCGTGGTCCGTGCCTCCGTGCAGATTCATGGCTCCGTTAATGAACACATGACACACGATCTTAATTACTGCCTCCATATTTATTTCGTCTGTCCCAAAATAAGTACTGTTACAGTATCTATGTCGGTCAATTTTTCTTAAATTTAACTCTTCTACACTTAAAAAATAACTAACCTTATTGTCTTACCGCCACGCCTTAACCCGACTGCGTTAAAAAGACGGACCAGCGGAGAGATGTACGCGGGGGAGTCTCGGAGAGTCGGAGGTAGCGGCGGACGGCGGTGACTGTCTGTGGACGTGGCCGTAACCAATCACACTGAATATGCGGAGAGATGTACGTGGGCTGTTGATTAGGGCAAAGGCCTAAGAAGTACTAACAGACCAGCCCAAGTTCTGTGTCTACTATTTTATTGATATATGTCAAAACAAAAAAAAATATTTATAAAATAATAAACACGGTACATCGGTATGTCTTATGGTAACGAAATGTATTGTTCCAAATGCAAAATCGAGGCATACAAAAAAATGCAAAATCAAAATGACCTCCAGAATGGAGTTGATAAGTATCTGCCAGACCCGAGAGTGCCATTTTGCCTCCCCACCCTAGCCTGCTCGCTTTAGCTTATCAGCCAGAATTAGTTCTACTTTTCAACCATAGAACAATGTTTTTCTCTCACATAAATCAGCCGAAACAGTATTTTCAACCGTAGAAACTATCAGCTGAACAGGCTTATGTGTTGCGTCCTGCATTATTTCTGCTTTGGCAACACTGGTTTCCGAAAAATTCGGAAAAAAGAGGAGGATGTGGGGAGTACAAGAGCAAAAATATAGAGAAGGCTATGGATTTAAAAATAGTTTACGGCATCAAATACAATATCATTTATTAGAATTTTATTGTTTTTCATAAAATGATCAAAACAACTTAAACTTGTAAAATGCAAAATAATGAAACACACAAGTATAAATTAAAAAAATTGATAATAAGGATTAAAATGTGCTTTATATTTTTTGTGTAATTACATTTTTATTTCTTAATATGTTCGCCTAAGCCACAAGCCACATGCATCGCCTTATGTGTCGACAAAATTCGTGAAACCCGTGCAATGCACGGGCATATATCTAGTAGATTTATAAAATATATTAACAACACTTGTATTTTCAAATAAGTCTATTATAAAAATAAATTAACGATCTATCTGATGATATTAATTTATATTATGAATATTAATATTTTTTATATAGTTAATCAAAGTTAAAAGTGTTTAACTCCTGAAAAAAATAAAATGATATTATTTTGATTTTTGGATCGGAGTGTATTTATTTAGGGCTTTCTCAACGCAACATGGTGGCTTGCTGCCCGGCGTCCACCTGTGCATCCAATTCCAGATCAACTAAAGTAGTGGTCTCGCGTAGGTCCGTAGTGGCCTGCAGCATCATTATCCTATGGCCCTGTTCATCCTTATAATCTGTCTTTTTTAACTTGTTTTTTTAAAAATAATTTTTTTTTCTCATAACTATTTTGACTTTTTTTTTTGTGAAGTGAACGGGGCAGATGCAAAGGTTGAAGAACGCGTTGGATGTGAAAAGTGATTGCTTGAAAGGAGAAGAGTAAATTCCTTCAGTGCCATTGAAAGCTATAACTATCCCCTATTTGCCATTCAAAAATATAGTTTTCCTTCATTGCCATTGATATAGATTTCTCTTCCCTTACGTGCCATTACTGCTATTTTTGGGAGAGTCAAGAGCTAACGCCGTTAAAACTCCGTTCGATAGCACCTGCTCTGATCCTTTCTTTTACCCCTAGCGCCGCTGTCTGTTAGGCACAGCACCCATTCCTTGGGTCTGTGTCGACGCATCAGCCATCAGGCCATCAGCCCGTGCGACCAGCGCCCGTCAATTGACGTTGGACCCACACCGCATCAACCAGTCCAGCAGCTGGATAAAGAGTGGGGACCACGCAGGCATGCAACCATGAAGACCTAGATGGAACTCAGGCCCGCTGCTCGCCGCTCTTCAACCTTGTTGCTGTCTGCTTCTCAGGGCCTGGCCAATATCAGGGACGCCCGCGGCATCTGCGTCATGGACGAACTCGGGTCACGGGCTATGCAACAGCTTCTCGCCGTATGCATGCAGCATGTCCTCGCCCGTCTGCGAGTGGAGCCTCTCCCCCAAGCACGGTGTGTGTGGCCTACTGGCCTTCAATGTCTGCAGAGTGCAGATCAGTTTCCCTCGTCCTCGTCTGTGGTCTGCTTGTCGAGACGGAAGTAACTCCTCCGTGTCCTCATTTTCTTGGAAGGCAGCATGTTATTAAATAAATGGTTCATCGCCTTTAACTCTGATGGAAAATCAGTCCTAGACAAACTAAAGTTTCAATAAGTTTAGGTCTGAAATTATTGTCTTGTTCTTTTTTGGTAAACGTGAAAGATGAATAGCTCTAGTTGTATTTGACAGTACGAAAAAAATTCTTATACAATGCATGTAATGGCAGCAAAGGGAAGTAGGCAAAATTACTTCATTGCATCTAGAGGGCAAATTTGTTTTTTCAGTGTCAATTAACAGTCATCTAGCATGCATGTGACAGCAATGTCACATAGGGGATGCAAAATTTAAACTAATGGCAACGAAGGAAACTTATATTTTTCAATGGCATATACTACGTAAGGGATTGATATAGATTTTGATGGCATTCAAGGGATTTTCTCGAAGGAGAAAGGGTGAGAAAAGCTGGTGCAAAGCTGCTCCATCCATTCTTTTCAGCTCTGCAAAAACAGAACGATGGGACTCCATTGACTGATGGATTTTTTTTCTTGCATACTCCTACGTGGGGAACACTGGTGTAGGTTTGCGTTGCTGCTGCCCTTATGTCCGAGGGACCGCGATACGCTGTACTCCTACTGGCAAGTGGCTCCATGCCCATGCGGGAGTACTCCATTCCTCTGACACTACTCACTTGCAATTGCAATCACACCAGAGCTTCCCTAAAATTTCCCCTGACGAGATGGCCCCCGTCTCCACTGCGCACATCAGAGGCCCACTAGTCATGTCCACAGAGCCACCAACGGAAAAAAGGACACCAAGCCTCGAACCACCCCTAGCCTGACACGGAGGGCCCGCACATCGCCCCCAACCACGCGCACAAATTGGAGTCTCTCTCCTCGTTCAGTTGTTCTCCTCTCTGGCTCTCTCGTCTTCGTCTCCACCTTCCCCACGACCACGAGTCCCACGGCCAACCAATCTCTGTTCTCCCTCTCTCTTCTCCGCGTCTTTAAATCCGAGAACAATTTTTTTTTGTCCGCGTCCTCCTCCGCCCTCACCGTAGATGCCTCGCTGTCCCGACCGCCAACACCCCCTGCTCGCCGTTGCTGCAGCCGCGGAGGCGATGGATCGTGAAGAAGGTAAAAGCAACGCCAGCGCGGACCTCGCCGAATTTGGGAGCGATTCTGGCTAATCTGGGGCCTGGTTGCCATTGGTGTGCAGTGACCGAGTTCCTGGGGCAGGTGCCCCTCCTGCAGTGCCTCCCGGGTTCCTCCATCCGCAGAATCGCCGAAGCCGTCGAGGTCAGGAACTACGGTACGTACCTAGCGCGTCCGCGGGCGCTACTGTGTGCTAGCAGTCTGGATCGATTGGCCGTTTGATCGGTTTCCTGTGTTTGAGGCGGATATGATTCGATGGGCTTACTCTGTTTGTCTACGATAGTATGACTTGTGTGTTAGTTTGTGCTTTCTGAAATCGACTTACTCTAAGCTCACAAAGTATTTGCGAGTGTTTATTGTTAGTCTATGAGATTACATTACAACAAAATTCAAGTTTCAGAGCCAATGCGAACATAGTTCTGCGAGAAACAGGGTGATTTTCTTTTAGTCGAAAGCTCTAACCAGTAGTCCAAAATGACTTGATTATGTTTAAGTTTAATTTTAATTGTTTGACCCTTGGTTCCTGCTTAGTGTGCTCCCATTATATAAGGCTCTACTTGTTAAATATGATTTTACTTTTCTGTCATTGAATGTGGTGTGGCGTCAAGATGAATCATATTTCGCTCTGATACTGGTACTTTGCAGAACCTGGTGACTATGTCGCTCGCGAAGGTGAACCTGTTGATGGCCTTTACATCATATTGGATGGTCAGGTAAAGTTTATGCAAATTCTTAATTTTGTTGGTTCTATGCATACATATACAACTTAGATGGCTGAGCTAAAGAGCTATATGCACTAAACGTTTCTTGTAGTGTACCTTTGCACCTCATGCTTACCACCCATCTTCTGAGCTGATGCTTCATTGAATCTGCACTGGCGCAAATAAATGTTCACGAAAAAAAAAACTTATATACTTCATTTCCACCCATCTTTGGCATTGATGATTATTTGACTCTGCACTGGTGCGCAGAAGGCTCTAGTACCACTGAAAAATACCCCAACATGGAGATATCACATCATTAATTGGGTACTCATTTGAAACAGGTGGACCATATAGTTTAGCCTGACTTATCTTTCTACATTGATTACTAGTAGCCTGCAAAAGAACAACTTTTATAACAATGATTGTTTGATTTGTTCTTTGGGTGAAAGACTTAGACTTCACTGAGTGAAGAACAGTTTCTATAACAATGATCTTATCTTCCTGATCTTCCATAGCTTTTCGTGGCCTAACTGTATTACATTGTTAATCTGTCTTGCTGCTGCGTTCATACCTTTAACTCGTTATTTTGTAATTGCTTTGATGTGTGTTAGAATCAATTAGAAAATATGCTGGAATTACATGTACCTTTGATATTTACCATAGTGGGAGTGGGGGCAGAGGCCGATTCTATTTTTAGCAGTAATAATACTTTCTGCTACTTGAATGACATCCTCATTATCCTGAAGGCTGAAGTTTCTGCACCTACAAATGCCGAAGAAGCCAACCGCCCAGACTATGTGTTAAATAAATATGACTACTTTGGTTACGGTAAGACATTTGCTGTCATGATAATTTGGTTTAATTCTGTTCAAATTCATTCTGCATGAAAAAGATATAAAACAGTGATTTCATTTCGTTAACACTGATGCTTTGCATTATTTTGTAGGAAGTAATAGTTCTGTTCATCAAGTAAATGTTGTTGCACTATCAAAGGTGCTTATTTCAAACAGTCACACTTTTAACTTATCATTTCTTTAGCTGTAGGATTCTCTTTTCTGAGTGAACACTTGGTTTATGGCTTTTCCAGATATGTATAGCCATCTCTTGCTTGCTGCCTTACTGTTGGCTGTTCTATTGCAGCTGACCTGCTTCATATTGCCCAATCAATATGGGCATTTGTTACAACCAAAAACAATTTGGAATGCGGAGGAAACACCTGAACATTCTTTGCTGGAACAAATTTTGCACTTAGAACCACTAGAGGTAAGTATAATGTATGACAGTATCTATGATGTTTTATCCATTATGCAACAAATGGATTTAAGGCTGGCAGTGGAATCATATTGTTCCCATTTGAAGACTAACCTTGTGCTTTTAACTCACCATATACTTTGATTTACATCGCCTAAAATAAACAAACATGAGAGCAGACATGGATTTCAGAGATTTGCATGGTTGCATTTTCTTGATTTGCTGTTAAAAGGACAAACATGATAAATATAGTGTCATATTAATTTTTTGCATTGAGTTCCCTTGTCTTGCTCACCACAATTCTTTTCTGTCTTTTTAGGTCGATATCTTCCGTGGGTTTACTTTGCCAGAAGCTCCAACTTTTAGGCAAGTTTTTGGAGGACAATTCATTGGACAGGCACTTTTCAACCACCCTTCCTTTTACTACTGAATTCTAGCTCATCATTTTGATTTCAAGTACAAATTTGTGAATTACTGAGTCAATAACTAAAAATAAACTTCTTTAGTCATCTTCCTCTACTTCCCATAATCACATGGGTTGGATTTAAGAACATCTCCATGAAACCGATTATTCACGAACAAATATACATATTATATTTAAAATTCTAGTCCTTGTCAGCTTCCTTCCAGACATTCCATTGTGCCGTATTGTCTTATTTATTATGGTATGACTATCTCCTTCATGATTTATTCACTTGATATGTTGCTAAGCGCCACAGGGTGACAATAAGAAGATATAAGAAATCATTGCTTAGGTATCTTTTGAGTACCTGTAGGAAGTTTGAGTCAGAATAATCCCCATTTTGAGTTCAGTTATGTCAACTCCCTTGCTGCTGACAGTTGGTATCTTTTGGATAAATGTATTTCTGTATGCTCTATGTTTTTTTCGGTAAAGGCTGGGGATCCTTGTAAAAGGAATAAATGATCTCAGTATGTTGTAACCACTAACCAGTTCTTATGTTTGATCTCATGCAGGCACTAGCAGCAGCATCCAAGACTGTTGATTGTCTAAAAATGGTGCACAGTTTGCATGCGATTTTTCTTGTTGCTGGAGACAATAACAGTAAGGTTCCCTAAAGCTATGTGATCTTTTGCCAACGTTAATTTGGCCAACCAAATGTAATCTGAGAACCAGTAATCTATCAGTTCATAAGGACTCTGTATCACGAGAAGCTTTTAGTTCGGGCTTAGCTGGGGCTTCTATTTTATTCCTTTTCGTTTCATGTAATATCATGATTCAGTTGCGTAACAGTCATTTTTTTTTGTGGAAAGTAAAGGCAGGAGCTCTGCCGCTCAATTAAGATGGAAAAAAGAGTTTTATGTACAAGGGCCAAACACATCGGTCATAGGACCAAATCACAAATAGCGACTGCTCTCACACTTATTGTTTTACCCCGCAAAGCACGTGGCCCTACGCAAATCACAAAAGATGCTGATATTTGGTGTAATCTATCCCATTCAACATAACACAGCATAAGATCTGCTCGGGCAGCTCTTCAGCTTTAGGAGTCTGATACCCATACGGCATATTTCTGGATTTGTAGTAAGCTGGGATAATTAGTGCACTTTCTTTTAATCTAAAAAAGAAGTTTGATGCTCATGGCTGTCTTTGATTTGTCCTCTGGTGTAGTACCAATAATATATCAAGTTCATCGGGCACGTGATGGATCCAGCTTTGCCACAAGAAAAGTGGAGGCAAAGCAGAAGGGACTAGTTGTATTCACCTTGATTGCTTCTTTCCAGGTGCTTATACTTCTGTAAATGATAATATCTGAAACTTCTTTGGGCAGATTAAATAATTTATACAAACCTGTACCAGTTATGATTCTCATTTTTCAATCTTTCGAACATAAAAAGATCTCTGCCTTGTTCATGCTGAGAATTTGTGAGTTAGAAGGTCAATGATTATTTTGAACCTTGTATCTCCCAAAACGCTGCATCAAGTCACTGTTCCTTTGGTTATTTTCAATGGTACTGTTGGTCCAAACTGTTATCATACTTAAGATTAATTGAAAAAACATGAACTGTTGCATAGAAAATGGTTCCTTATAGCCCTTGCACACCTTACTAAAATTTATGTTCGTTAAAACCACAACTTTATGGTATATCTTCATCAGATACCAATCAATATCATCCTTAGTCTCAATAGCTACCAGACAATATCGTTCCTGGTCTCAATTTGATTAGTACAGTTGCTTATGATCCATGGATAAATTGTTTTGTGGTACAACTGCTAGAATATATACTGCTAGGTTGAAATTTTTAGGACTGCAAAGGTCAGCCTCGTGAAATATGTCAATGTGAATTTGGTCTGAATATCTGTTCAACTGATTCTCTTGCAGAAGGAAGAAGTGGGTTTTGAGCATCAGGCTGCAATCATGCCTGATGTTCCTCCTCCAGAACAGGCAAGGATTTTTCTCTCTTTCCTTTGATATATGTGGAAGAAAAAAACAGATATCTAATAAGAAATCAAATGCAGCTCCTTAATCTGGAGGAGATACGAGAAAGACGGCTTACTGATCCACGCTTCCCATCGTAATTTTTCTGACTTCCTATCATATAGTTCGATGGTTACTAAATTAATGATGTTATCAGGCTATTAATTGGTTTAACCATCAAACCATAGCCTTCGCCCTTCAGGATTTACTTCCATTGTGCCATTGAAAAGAATTATTTTTCAAATGGATCTACCTTGCTGTTGATGCTACAAGTTGGATAGCACATTTACAACAACAACAACAACAACAACAACAACAACAACAAAGCATTTAAGTCCCAAACAAGTTGGGGTAGGCTAGAGTTGAAACCCATCAGAAGTAATCAAGGTTCAGGCACGTGAATAGCTGTCTTCCAAGCACTCCTATCTAAGGCTAAGTCTTTGGATATATTCCATCCTTTTAAGTCTCCTTTTATTGCCTCTACCCAAGTCAATTTCGGTCTTCCTCTGCCTCTCTTCACGTTACTATCCTGGCTTAGGATGCCACTACGCACCGGTGCCTCTGGGGGTCTCCGTTGCACATGTTCAAACCATCTCAACTGGTGTTGGACAAGCTTTTCTTCAATTGGCGCTACCCCTAATCTATCACGAATATCATCGTTCCGAACTCGATCCCTTCTTGTATGACCGCAAATCCAACGCAACATACGCATTTCCGCGACACTTAGCTGTTGAACATGTCGTCTTTTCGTAGGCCAACATTCTGCACCATACAGCATAGCAGGTCTAATTGCCGTCCTATAAAACTTGCCTTTTAGATTCTGTGGTATCCTTTTGTCACATAGGACACCAGACGCTTGCCGCCACTTCATCCACCCTGCTTTGATTCTATGGCTAACATCTTCATCAATGTCCCCGTCCCTCTGTAGCATTGATCCTAAATATCGAAATGTATCCTTCCTAGGCACTACTTGACCTTCCAAACTAACATCTTCCTTCTCCCGAGTAGTAGTGCCGAAGTCACATCTCATATACTCAGTTTTAGTTCTGCTGAGTCTAAAACCTTTGGACTCCAAAGTTTCCCGCCATAACTCCAGTTTCTGATTCACTCCTGTCCGGCTTTCATCAACTAGCACTACATCGTCCGTGAAAAGCATACACCAAGGGATGTCCCCTTGTATGTCCCTTGTGACCTCATCCATCACTAAAGCAAACAAATAAGGGCTCAAAGCTGACCCTTGATGTAGTCCTATCCTAATCGGGAAGTCATCCGTGTCTCCATCACTTGTTCGAACTCTAGTCACAACATTGTTGTACATGTCCTTAATGAGCCCGACGTACTTCGTTGGGACTTTATGTTTGTCTAAAGCCCACCACATAACATTCCTTGGTATTTTATCATAAGCCTTCTCCAAGTCAATAAAAACCATGTGTATGTCCTTCTTCTCCCTATACCGCTCCATAACTTGTCTTATTAAGAAAATAGCTTCCATGGTTGACCTTCCGGGCATGAAACCAAATTGGTTCACAGAGACCCGCGTTATTGCTCTCAAGCGATGCTCGATAACTCTCTCCCATAGCTTCATAGTATGGCTCATCAACTTAATTCCCCGATAATTAGTACAACTTTGAATATCCCCTTTATTCTTGTAGATCGATACCAATATACTTCTCCTCCACTCATCAGGCATCTTGTTCGATCGGAAAATATGGTTGAACAGCTTGGATAGCACATTTATAATATCAAATATTATTTTTAAGAAAAAAATTAATATTGTTCATCTCTATCATTCGGTACTTGGTAGCCAATTGAATGTTTATTCATCTGCAGCCAATATAGGAACTTGGCAGCTAAAAAGAAGTTTACTCCTTGGCCCATAGAAATGAGATTCTGTGAAGATTCAGCATCTCAACATAAACCAAGGTATCCACATACATCTTTTTCCCTAAATGCAACCTATTCATATTTTTTTGTTTAAGTTGTATTAATCCTGCAGATCCTGGTTTCCTCCAAAGCAAGATTTCCCCCTTTCTATCCTTTTATATTAGTAAAAATAGTTATGATTCAGTAATGCGTCTGATTCTTTTTCAGCTTAAACTACTGGTTTAGAGCTCGGGGAAAACTTTCAGACGACCAAGCTCTACATAGGTTAGTCATTAGGTCACCATACACTATCTTTCATCATTTCTTATGCTTGCACATAATGTTATTCTGCAATACTACAGATGTGTTGTAGCATATGCTTCGGATCTACTATATTCTGGTGTGAGCCTTAACCCTCATCGAGAGAAGGGTTTGAAGACATACTCGCTCAGTCTTGATCATTCGTATGTAACATTCACTCTGTATAGTGCTTCCGATCATCATCACTTTTAGCAAATTTTTGTTTGTTCTTACGGCTACATGTTACTGTTTGTAGCATCTGGTTCCACAAACCTGTGAAGGCTGACGAATGGTTGCTGTATGTGGTAAGCGATTGACCGATTGTACATCTGTTCATCGATACAGATGAGCTCATGCGAGATACTAATGTACACATTGCTCCCGTGAACAGATCGAGAGCCCATCTGCGCACGGTGGTCGGGGTTTCGTCACGGGACGCATGTTCAACAGGCAAGGAGAGGTATGCATTCGTCTGAGCTCTGATTCTGCTTCTGCACCTGTTCGTGAGAGTAGGGACCCAAGTAATTATATTCTCTTCTGGAATGCGCAGCTTATCATGTCGCTGACCCAAGAGGCGTTGATTAGAAGGGAGAAGCCACGAGGACCAAATCCAAGGCCGAAGCTTTGAGAGATGCACCATCCTTTCTTCTAATTTGGTTTAGATATTTATGAATTCACAAGCAAAAATGTACAATATCAACCGTGGGGCAGCTTTATCGAAAATCTGGAATTCCTAGAGCACCCTTTAGGTGTTCTCTTAGCTCTACATTTTTTTTTCCTGGACCAGAGTTTGTAGAGCGGTACCTATTTAGCCGAAAAACGTGGAGTGGTGTAGTCAAACATGCCCTTAGTGCTCGCACCTTTCTCTTTCTGGAGTATGATACGTTGTTACATCCGAAGTACTTTTTTGATACGAAAAGGGGGAAGGAAGACAGTATTTGGTTGTGCAATATATATACTCAATAGATGTGCAGTGGTAGTCGCAGGTAACTGTTGGCCGTGCTTAACTCCTATTTTTAACCGTCAAATTAATTTAAAATGTCAACATTCCATGCTACTTCGTACCAAAATATTATTTAATCTAACAAGTTTCATGAGTTTTGGTGCTATCATTTGCTTTGCAGGATATACTCAAAATGCGCGTTAGAAGGATATTAAATAGTACATATACAACTTGGTGGGAATTGAAAAAGAAAATATATTCAAATATTAAATGCTGCAATATAGCACACCATTGCGTTATTTGCTATATTTAGAGCTTCGAACGAAGGATGCTAATTATTAAGAAAAGAAGAAAACTCTATCAGCAGCATGCACGAGTTGAAGAAGCACATGCGTGCATGCCTGGCACCGAACCAACCACCTTGGATGCTCCATTTTTTCTCCACCGCCTCTTGCATGCTCCCATGCATGGAAACACACTTTGGGAGCATCACAACCCTCCATCAAATGGCGGTTTGGATCAATGGCTCACAAGCTCCATCACGAGGATTGCTGACGTGGCGCTTCCGGTGGCTCCTATTACTCCACCCCTAGTATACATAGAGGGGCACCCTCTCACTCTCAAGACACAACACACCACCACAAGGAAGAAGAGCACACCTCACTTTAGTTAGAGCAACACTCCAAAAGGGCTTAGGCCCTAGTAGCTAGCTAGAGTTGTAAGGAGGAGATGTGAGGGAGAGCTCGGGGAAGCGCTGGACTTGTCGGTGTCTCCCCGACTTGTACCTCTACGAGCATCTTACTTCAACGGGTTCTCCCGCTAAGTGAGTGCTCGAGTTTTTTATGGTATAAAGTCTTTTTAATTAGTTATGCTTTACTCTCACTTGTTTGCGGGTTCGTCGTCCGCTCTCGTAGCAGATACTTTAGTAGAGGGCCCTGATAAAGACGGATAGCCCTACCAGAACGTTAGAGTAGTAGTCGACAACGTAGACGTGGTGTCTAGGCTAGAGGCTACCTTTGTTTGCCTTGTACTCCACGGTTGAGGGGTAGACGGCAGGTGGTGACAGCCATGTCCGTCCCTTGGAATACCCCACGTCCGGGTAGGGCGTAGAGCTATAGGCCGGGCTCACTTGGCAGACCAGGTGCTACCCGATGCTCGAAGTAAGCAAGTGGAAGTAGCGTTTATCTATTCATTTGACCCTAAAATCATAGGAATCCATCTCTACCCTCTACCAACTCTACCCTTACGTTGTCCTTGGACGAACCAGCTAGAAGAGATACCTCCGTTCCCCGTGGAAAATACGATACCCCGAATACTTCCTTGTGAAAGCTACAACGGTAATTCTGTACCCTTGCGGATTAACTTATGTAGACGTTAAGAAATACCAACAGTAACTTTTGGTGAATCAATAGTGCTAAGAAACGTCGCATTTTTTGGCCTGTCTGTTTAACTTTCTGGCAACAAAAGTCAAAGCTATGTTTACAGATTTTCAGAACCAAAACTACCTTTTGCCACTTGAATCTGGTCTGGAGGTACTTTATCAAGTATAGAATAATGAAACCTAAAGGCTAAATCAAGAGTCCACTTGAGTTGAGCTTAACTCGAGATCCCCTGATTTGGCAAAGAAGCACTTGTTGGAACAAAAAATGCTTGAATGGAGTAAATGAGAGAGGGCACTGTTTGCCTAAACGGTTGTTTAGCCCGTTTAAACACCGTGTAAACACTACACGGTGGTGCGCCGTTTCCGTTTAATCACCCGTTTACCCCGTTTAATTGGTCGTTTAGCCCGTTTAATGGGACGTTTTGCCCGAATAATGGCTAAACGGTAGGTGACCGACTGTTTACCGTTTAGCGTTTAGGAAAACACTGAGAGAGGGTGCGCAAAGTAAGAAATGAGACCAAAGTAGACATTGCAATGGGGATGGGAACGAATCAAACCTCCAGAATCACCAGCGGCTCTTCAACTATCCTTCAACTCTGGCAAACTTTGGTTTGGATTAAGGTTGGGGTTTAGGTTTGGGGACGACATTTGTGTCCACCGACTTTAAATGGGATGGTCGAGTGTCATTGTCGGCCCGACGGCAGTGGTGTGTGGGCGTAACGGGGCATGGCGAAGGTGACGCCACTAGGGTGGTAGACTAGTAGTGGAGGCTGGTTGGGGAGCGTTGGTTTCAAGGGGCGTCAAATTTGCATCAATTAGTGGTGGTGGTGGTGGAGGGCAACATTGACGGTGGTAGAGGTGGGGAAGAGTGAGATATGGAAGTGAGGGAAGGTTCTTGCCATCTTCATACTGATTAGTAGAGAGAGGGCTAACATTGGGGCCACAGGAGGTGAAAGCATCTAGGCCCCTAGTTGGGTTTCGGTGATTAATGACGATACGGGATTACTATGACTAACGTGTGTTTTGCAGAGGCAATTTGTGTTAGGTCATGGTAATGGAAATTGATTGGGTAATCATAGTTGTCATGCCCCTGTCGATGGAAATCGTTTCGGTTTTCAAAGGATGGACGGCAAGGTAAAGGACGGACTAGTTCTAAGTGTCGTTTGGTGTTAGAGAGACACTTAGAGTAGTTTAGGACTTTATTTTTCCTTTGGCCATACTATTAAGGGGAGTATGGACTAGTAGCTTGACCTAGGTGAGTCTAGTGGGTTAGGTGTGGTGCACACTTATCAAACCTAGCACTAGGTGCTCAGGAATAGCCCTAAGATCAATTGGAGTCAACTTCATTCACATAGGATTTTGAATTGGAAGTGAATGGAGGGTCAAATGACTGATCGAACGCTGGTCTGGTTGTGATTGGACGCTGAAGGGTGAGTCCGGTCAGTTCATTTGATCAACTGCAGTCGTTTGGTACTGACCGGACGCTGAGTGGAGGAGCACCAGACGCTAGGGTGCCTGCGTCTGGTCCACTCTAGAGAGGTTCTAGAGAGGCCTTTTCTTGACCAGACGCGTCCGGTGGGTAGTGACCGAACGATGGTTAGAGTCCGGTCAATCAACTGCAGTCATCTGGTACTGACCGAACGCTGAGTGGAGGAGGACCGGACGCTGGGATGCCTGCGTCCGGTCCACTCCAGAGAGGTTCTAGATAGGTTTTTTCTTGACCGGACACGTCCGGTGGGTGCTGACCGGACGCTGGTCAGAGTCTAGTCAAAGCTTAACAGCTTTCTCTAACACATTGGCGGGTACAACTGACCGGAGCGTCCGGTCACCCTGACCGGAGCGTCCGGTCAGCCCACAGACTGATCCAAGATTAAGGACCTCATTAGTGTATAGGGAGTAGCAAGTGTGCATCCACCTTACTCATTAGGCTTATCTTGGTCAAGTGAGAGTTTGTGCTTGTTACTCTTGGTGATCACCATCACCTAGATGACTCGGTGGTGATTGGAAGCTTGGTGATCATCCGGCGGAGCGTGTGGATGACCCAAGTCACTTTGTGAGCGGTTGTGGGTGATTCACCGCGATGGAGTGTCAAAGAATCAACCCATAGAGAGCACTTGATCCTTGCGCGGATCAAGGGGGAGCTACACCCTTGCGCGGGTGCTCCAACGAGGACTAGTGGGGAGTGACGACTCTCCGATACCTCGGGAAAACATCATCATATTCCTTTTTCTCTTTTTACTTTGAGCATTTACATTTGAGCAATTCATTTTATGTCTTTATATTTCTAGAATTGCCATGCTAGAGTAGGATTGGAACCTAGGGTGCAAAACTTTTATACGGGAGAACAATAGAAATACTTTTTAGTCACAAGGGGTGAAATGGGCTAAGTGTAGGGCTTAATTATTACAAAAATTTAGAATTAGCCCAATTCACCCCCCTCTTGGGCATCTTGATCCTTTTAGGAGGGTCAAAGGCGAGGGGCATGTTCTCACTGGTGCCGGATTGGGTGGGGCGGCGATGGAGGTGGGGCGGTGATGGAGCACTTCATAGACAAACACTCTTTTTCTATCATAAGAACTAAATCCCTCTAGGCAAAAGTTACGTCGAGTGTTGAGGAGTCCTCACTAGTTGAATCCAAAACCTTTAGCATGCTTAGATTCGACTTATGAACCCTCACCCGAACCACAAACACTGAAGGAAAGATTAATTCACCCTTCAGAGTTCTCTATCGAATTCGAGGATTATGGCAACACCTCAAAATACGCTGGGCACGGAAAGCTTACACGTCCTTCTGAGGAAGTTTCCTCCAAGGTAGAACCATCAAAGGAATGGTTAATGGAAGTGAAACGTTCTTTCAAAGCAATTTGAATTCTTTCACCCTCCACGACCATGCCTTGCTCGTTAAGGGGAACAAACTTAGAAGCCCTGCACAACCCCACAGTCAGGACCAGCATCATGTCAGAATTCCTTGTGGAATACCTCTTGGGTAACATACCAACAATATAATCTATCTTCAGATGTGCCTACTCATTCTCCGCCACGTCCCAGTGCCGCAGATGAGTTTGCTTCAGACTGGTGGGGTGACCTCAGAGGTGGATATAGCTAATACAGTCTTGGGGGTTACGACCCTTCTGGTGAGGGTGGTTCTCATCCAGCTGGTGCTCCACGTTCCGAGGATGAGGATGATGGTGGACAGGACGATGATGATGATGATGAGTGATCTCAGGTGTCAGATACAGTTTGCAGCCCCTTTGTGCTTTAGTATGTCATTATTGGACCTTTGTGGTGATGGATGACAAAGGGG